AAAATTTTTTTGTTGAAATATACAAGGAATCCCTCATGGGTAAAAAGAGTAAAGTAAATACGACTTTGATTTGGTTATGATGTATAAGGTAAGAAAGATTAGAATTGGATCAGTGAATCACTTTTTAGTCATTTATTGCATGATAAATCACTACAAGTGACGGAGATACACGATTTAAATAACGAAAGATCCAATATTTAAAAATTGTATCAAGAATGACTGGAAAGGTAGAAACTAGACCAGATAAAATTTGCTCATAATGAGCAAACCCAAAATCTTTGTAAATATAACCAATCATTAGTTCCCAACCGTGAGGCGAATGGAATCCGATACATAAATCAGTTAATAAAAGAATCGAAAAAGCTTTAATTGTATCACTTAAATTATATAGGAATTCTTGAACCCAAGAATTCAGAATAAAAAGCTTTTCCTTACCCCAAAAGGAATAACCACTTAGAATAACGAAAGATATTAGATTTGTCGAGAAGTGCAAGATTGTATGGATACGATACTCATTGTGTATCTTGATAAACTGGATCGTTTCTTTGTGGATTCCTAGACGAAATTGTTGTAAATCGGTTTCTGGGTATTCTTTTATCATTTCATCCAGCTGGAATAGATCCTCTAATTGTATGAATTTTTCTAGAACACTTTTTTCTTGAATATCAATCAAAAAAGTTTCGCATTGTCTAGTATTCCACCAATTAGTAATCCAAGTTTTCAAACTTTTATTACAGCAGAGAGAGATCAACCAGGGCAAAAATACTATAGATGTAAAATAAAAAAAAGGAATGAATGCTTTCTTTTTTGCCATTTTGAATCTGTGAATTGTTAATGAACCTACCGCATTTGTTGATTCTATTAGATCTAATATTTCTATCGAGCATGAGTTTCTATTCTAATTCGAATAGAATGTATTGAGCCTATGAATCCATTTTATCTTTTTCTTTCAATACTTAGTCTTTGCTTTGAATCTAGAAAGAATACAGAAATAGACTAAGAATACACTTCCAATTTGAATGAAAAATTGGATTTACAGGATGTTATTCTCCCTTTTTTCGATCAATACTAAAAGAACTTTTTCGAATTTTAAAAATAATAAAAAATTATTCTATTTTAAAACCAAGAAACTCCCTTTCTTTTCTATCAAATATAAAAAAAACGAGCATAAAAGAATAGATTAATGTTCAATTGACAAAAAAAAAAAAGTTCTTTCGTTTTTTCTTCCTACTGCCAAAGCATTTAGTATTTTAAAATGAATTCATTTCAAAATACTTCAATTGGTACACGCAAGAAGTAAGCCAATTCAGCAGCTTTTTGCTCAATTTCTCGTGTAGTAAAATTCTCATCAGTACGAATTAAAGGAATAGCCCCTTGACCTCGAATTTCCATATAAAGGACACGCCGAGCAGAAACACCCTCTTTAACTTCTATTCTGATGAACTGAATATCTTTCATAAGGAATCGTAAAAAAATGCGACGACTTTTTCCAGGAAATCCCCAACGAAAAATACGCACTATTCCTTCTTTTCGGTCGAAAATGTCATAACCACTACCCATATTCCAAAAAATGGTACACCACAAATAGCAACTAATAAAGAGACCTGCGATCCCATTGAAAGACATTACGATCCCTTGTGGAAAAAAAGGATTTGCTGAGAGGCAAATAACGATATAAAATTTCTACCAAGATAACTGGAAATTCCAACCAATAAGAATCCTAATGAACCTAAAAATAGGATAAAGGCCCAGCAGAAATTACTTGTTTTTCGAGACCCCGTTATAAATTCTATCCATATAGATTCTGATCGCCAACTCATATATATTAGATCCAGTTATACAATTTTTTGGAATTGAGAAAATATGACTTTCCTTTTTTGTTTTCAAAGTAACTCTCATCAACTATTTTGTTATGAACCTTTACCTTAGGAGTAATTCCTAGAATTTTTTCGAAAATCTCATTCCTTTAGACGATCCCCTATAAGTATATACATACAGATAAATACATTGACTTGAATTTCATACATCGGCCCGATGATGAGCCATTTTTCAAAAGAGCGGAAGTTGAGTTCCCCATATCATAAGTTTACACATGCATAAGAGCTTTTTTTAGTTATGTTTGTAGGAATCTATGTGATACAATATTCTACCAAATGGGTCTTAGCGAATCGAAGTTTTTAAAATAAAAAAGGAGTGATACGATTCGGTCTCATCCGATCTAAAAAATCTTATTTTTTTGAATATAAAGAAATAAAGAAGCCATTGCAAGTGCCGGAAAGACTAGGCCTACTAAAGGCACAAAAATAGAGGGTAAGTTATTGAAAGTTGTCATAAAATGGGTACCTCAATTTAATATTTATACCTGTTATTGTTATATTCTGAATTCTAAAGATATCTTAGAATATCTTGTATTTTTATTATTTCTATTATATATATATTATAATTATACTAAGTATCTTTAAGGAAATATATATCTAATACTAATATACAACCTAATCGAAATAGAATCAAAAAATAGGTACAAGAAACGCCAAACTAAATAAATGGACTTATTCATCTTTCAAAATCAAATAGATATATATAAATCCCCTTGTTAGATTTATTATTATTTTTTTCTTCTAATAGTAATTGAATTAATAAAGAAAAAATTTTATTCCATTACAAATTTCTACAAAATTGATTGGAATCTGATCCAACAACAGGGAATTGCAAAAAGATGCAAGACTCTCTATAGATCTGTATATATCTCTATTTGAATTATCTATACATATGCAAGCACGAGATGAAAATAAACTTTGTTTTATTTGTCTAGTCTAATTTGAACTTCCCGAAAGCAAAAATTCACTTTTTATCTTGTTGATAGAGGTTTACTGAGTAGTAAACAATAATATCGATAACAAAATGATTCGAAAGAAAAATTTATTTTTCAGGGGTTTCGTTTAATTCTGATAAACTAACTGTTCTAATTAATTTCATTTTTGTTCAAAGGAAAAAAAGCATGGAGCTGAAATAACTCACTCACAACACCTTTTAAAGGATTACGTGGTACAATTGCATCCAATAAGCCCTTACGTAATAAAGATTCAGCCGCTTGTGAACCTTCAGGCACGGCTTTTTTCAATGTTTGTTCAATTACTCTTTTACCCGCAAATGCAATATAGGCATAGGGTTCGGCAATAATGATATCCCCCAACATACCAAAACTAGCTGTCACCCCCCCGGTAGTAGGAGATGTAAGAATTGATATATAGAATAACTTTTTACTTGATTGATAATCACATAAAACCGAAGAAATTTTAGCCATTTGCATCAAACTTAAACTTCCTTCTTGCATTCGTGCTCCTCCCGAAGAACACACTAAAATAAGAGGTAAACGTTGATTGGTAGCATACTCGATCAAACGAGTTATTTTTTCGCCTACTACGGATCCCATACTACCCCCCATAAACTGAAAATCCATAACCCCAAGGGCTACTGGAATACCGGTTAGTTGGCCTGTACCTGTTTGAACAGCATCAGTCAATCCTGTCTTTTTTTGAGCAGAGTCAATACGCTTTTTATAAGGTTCCTCCCGTGAATGAAATTTAATGGGATCCGCAGAGACCATGTCTTCATCCATAGGATTCCAAGTACCCGGATCAATCGAAAGCTCGATTCTCTCTGAACTAGTCATTTTCAAATAATGTCCACATTCTTCACAAACATTCATTTCTACTTTCTTATACATTAATCCATAACAATTGTCGCATTGAATCCACAATTGATTGTGGTTTTTAGTTATATCGAAATCCTTAGAACTCATTAAATTATTACGATTCCTATTAGTTCTTATCTTGTAATTTTTGCTTTCACGAATCTTTCCACTTTCACTACAAATGAAATTATAAATGTAATTTTCATTGGAATTATTACTATCGCTTAAAAAGTGACTATCAATACAGATGTGAGAATGAAAATAAAAGTCAATACAACTAGTAATGTGATTATTACAACTATATTTAGTATCCTTAATGTAAGGATCATAGTGCAGATCGTTGTCACTTTTAGATCTATTATTCAGATAACTAGAACTACAATAACTATAAAAAAAAAATTCTAGGTCACTCAAATCATTGTTAATCTCAAATTTTTTTTTTTTTATATCAAAATATATAGAATAACTATTCTTATTACTATCCCTAACAAAAAAGGTGTCATCCGATATGAAATTCCGAATGTCCTTGGAGCTAACTAAAAGATTAACATTTTTGTAATAACTCGAACGCTCATCCCAACCATAAAAGTTTTTATCCATATCATATATAAACCGGTCTTTACTTATAGTAGTCTTTTCAATAGGAGCAAAACTATCCATTGCTTTATTTAGCTCGCCTCTATATTCCAATTCTCCCTTAGAAAACATCAAATTGAACCACGATTTTTCCATAGAGCTTCTGGCCTCTATTTACATAAAAATACAATAACAATAGATGAATAGTCATTCAATGAAAAAATTGAAAAATGCAAAATTTTTTTGAATAGTTCATTTTCTATTCAGAGTAAGCAAAGCATATCGATGCAATTGCTAATTGCTAAGATTATTAAGTAAAAGTAATTGAAATTCATAAATTTCAATTAAAAATGAAAATAAGGATTTTCTTATATTGTGTAAAATTCTCATTAAAAAAAAGAAATATTTGTTCTTCGCTTATGAATATATGAAGAACTTTTTTAGTAAAATCTCGTATCTCGTATACTAATATAAAATAAAAAAAGGTTTTTATTCCAATACGGAATGAAAAGAAAAGGACAACATGCAGGATGGGTAGAAGAAGTGGGGATACTTGGTTCAAGCCCTGACACGAAACTTAAAAAAAAATACAACAATCCTAAGAATCCATATTTCATATAGGATTTCTTGTGGACACAACTTTACAATACAAAATTGTAGTTGTGTTTAATCTTCTTTTTTTTTTTAGATTTTTTATACCTAGATAAATATGTATCTATCAAAAATAGTA